TATGTTAATCACCATACATTACATCATTAGTTTTTGATGTAGTGTTCCATGATTCATTGTTTGCATATAACACCCAGGGCTCCATTCAGTATGTGCCCTCTTTAATACCCATCACCAGGCTAACCCATCCTGCCACCCCCCACCCCTGTAGAACCCTCAGTTTGTTTCTCAAGTCCATAGTCTCTCATGGTTCATCTCCTGCTCCGATTTCCCCCCCTTCATTTTTCCCTTCTTACTATCTTCTTTTTTTAACATATAATGTATTATTTGTTTCAGAGGTACAGGTCTGTGATTCAGCAGTCTTACACAATTCACAGCGCTCACCATAGCACATACCCTCCCCAATGTCTATCACCCAGCCACCCCATGCCTCCCACCCCCCACCACTCCAGCAACCCTCAGTTTGTTTCCTGAGATTAAGAATTCCTCATATCAGTGAGATCATATGATATATGTCTTTCTCTGACTGACTTATTTTGCTCAGCATAATACTCCAGTTCCATCCACATCGTTGCAAATGGCAAGATTTCATTCCTTTTGATGGCTGCATAATATTCCATTGAATATATGTATACCATATCTTCTTAATCCATTCATCTGTCGATGGACATCTTGGCTCTTTCCACAGTTTGGCTATTGTGGACATTGCTGCTATAAACATCGGGGTGCACGTACCCCTTTGGATCCCTACATTTGTATCTTTGAGGTAAATACCCAGTAGTGCAATTGCTGGGGGATAGGGTAGCTCTATTTTCAACTTTTTGAGGAACCTCCATACTGTTTTCCAGAGTGGCTGCCCCAGCTTGCATTCCCACCAACATTGTAGGGGGGTTCCCCTTTCTCCACATCCCCGCCAACATGTCGTTTCCTGATTTGTTAATTTTAGCCATTCTGACTGGTGTGAGGTAGTATCTCATTGAAGTTTTAATTTGGATTTCCCTGATGCTGAGTGATGTTGAGCACTTTTTCATGTGTCTGTTGGCCATTTGGATGTCTTCTTTGGAAAAATGTCTGTTCATGTCTTCTGCCCATTTCTTGATTGGATTGTTTGTTCTTTGGGTGTTGAGTTTGATAAGTTCTTCATAGATTTTGGATACTAGCCCTTTATCTGATATGTCATTTGCAAATATCTTCTCCCATTCTGTCGGGTGTCTTTTGATTTTGTTGACTGTTTCCTTTGCTGTGCAAAATCTTTTTATCTTGATGAAGTCCCAATAGTTCATTTTTGCCCTTGCTTCCCTTGCCTTTGGCAATGTTTCTAGGAAGAAGTTGCTGTGGCTGAGGTCGAAGAGGCCTGTGTTCTCCTCTAGGATTTTGACAGACTCCTGTCTCACATTTATGTCTTTCAACCATTTTGAGTCTATTTTTGTGTGTGGTGTAAGGAAATGGTCCAGTTTCATTCTTCTGCATGTGGCTGTCCATTTTTCCCAACACCATTTGTTGAAGAGACTGTCTTTTTTCCATTGGACATTCTTTCCTGCTTTGTCAAAGATTAGTTGACCATAGAGTTCAGGGTCCATTTCTGGGCTCTCTCTTCTGTTCCATTGATCTATGTGTCTGTTTTTGTGCCAGTACCATACTGTCTTGATGATGACAGCTTTGTAATAGAGCTTGAAGTCTGGAATTTTGATGCCACCAGCTTTGCTTTTCTTTTTCAACATTCCTCTGGCTATTTGGGGTCTTTTCTGGTTCCATACAAATTTTAGAATTATTTGTTCCATTTCTTTGAAAAAAGTTGATGGTATTCTGATAGGAATTGCATTAAATGTGTAGATTGCTCTAGGTAGCATTGACATCTTCACAATATTTGCTCTTCCAATCCATGAACATGGAACGTTTTTCCATTTCTTTGTGTCTTCCTCAGTTTCTTTCATGAGTATTTTATAGTTTTCTGAGTACAGATTCTTTGCCTCTTTGGTTAGATTTATTCCTAGGTATCTTATGGTTTTGGGTGCAATTGTAAATGGGATGGACTCCTTAATTTCTCTTTCTTCTGTCTTATTGGTGTACAGAAATGCCACTGATTTCTGTGCATTGATTTTCTATCCTGCCACTTTACTGAATTCCTGTATGAGTTCTAGCAGTTTTGGGGTGGAGTCTTTTGGGTTTTCCACATACAGTATCATATCATCTGCAAAGAGTGAGAGTTTGACTTCTTCTTTGCCTATTTGGATGCCTTTTATTTCTTTTTGTTATCTGATTGCTGTGGCTAGGACTTCTAATACTACGTTGAATAGCAGTGGTGATAGTGGACATCCTTGCCATGTTCCTGACCTTAGGGGGAAAGCTCTCAGTTTTTCCCCATTGAGAATGATATTCGCTGTGGGTTTTTCATAGATGGCTTTTATGATACTGAGCTATGTACCCTCTATCCCTATACTCTGAAGAGTTTTAATCAGGAAAGGATGCTGTACTTTGTCAAACGCTTTTTCTGTATCTATTGAGAGGACCATATGGTTCTTGTTCTTTCTTTTGGACGTTAAGTATCCTAAGATTACCGTTGAACTGTTGTGGTTCTTATGTTTTGAAATTTTTATAAATAATATATTTTATGGTGAATAAAGTGGTTAACTATTTCCTTTCACATCTGAATCCATTCTCAGTATTTTAAGAAACCATTGCCTTGCAATTCTGGTTTTCTGAAATTACCCTACTGTCACTGAGGCTCACAAATTTCTCTATAGGAGGCCTGAAGAGAGGAAATCTATGTAAGGAGGGCTATGACACTTATTTTGTGACTGTATTTACATAACAAGGAAAGGTTTTTACTTAGATGTTTGTCAATAATTACTAAAAATAACACAGCTTTCTAAGGATATGTTTATTTTTGCTAACCATGAGATTGAGAAAACATTAATTTTCTGTCCTAAATAATATAATTATTGTATTTTTATTTAGAAATGTTTTATGGGGGTTGCTGATGAAGGTTTTGTGGTGGGATGCTAAAGTCCTCCAAACCACTCCCAGGTGCATTCACTCTTTGTCTACCAGGAAAGTGATCCCAGCCAGCCACTTAGCATTCACTTGCCTTCATGGTCTTACCATACTCTTTATAACTCATTATGGGCAATAAGTTTATAACTCTCTCTAAGCAGTAACTCTGGTGAAATGAAAGAAATGTTGTGTAATGTCACAGATAATAATAATGATAATAATAATAAAGATAACATCAACAGTGCTGGTTTTGCAGATAGCAATAAAAGGTCTTTGATAATGTTATTACAGTAATGACGTGATATAGTATAAACTTTATAAAGTTCGTTTTATTAACAAAATTTATTTTAATAGCTTTATCATTTGTTTTAATTCTGTTTTTATGGAATAAATAGAGTCCAGAAAGGTCTAGTTAAAACCTTTGGTTATACTTTAGGGCATCTCATGATGGAAACTGTATAATAGTAGTTGTATTCATAGAGATTCAGGAAGATATTGTGTTGTAGTCCATCATCCATAATCAAGAGCTTATTCTCTTGTACTTTTTAAAATAGTTTTTGATCGAATCATGGAACACTACATCAAAAACTAATGATGTAATGTATGGTTACTAACATAACATAAGAGAATAAAACAAAAATAAATAAATAAAAATAATAAAACCAAACATAAAAAAAATAGTTTTTGATCTTTAACATTTTCACATTTTTTTCAATTTTGTGAATTTTTGTTTTTAAAATAGAAGATATCAAACTCCAATTGTCTAAATTTCCAAGCAAATTAAACATAATTTTTAGTGATCTGGGAACTAGAGCCAGAATGATATAGAACTTGATATATAAAGAATATAAAACTTGTCATCCTGGAAACATTTGCTTTTTTTTTTTTAAGATTTATTTATTTATTCATTTGCAAGAGAGAGAGAGAAAGAGAACAGGTGAGACTGAAAGCGTGGGGGAGGGGCAGAGGTAAAGGGAAAGGGAGAGAAGCAGACTCCCTGCTGACCTTGGAGCCTGACCTGGAGTTCAGTCTCAAGACCCTGAGATCATGCCTTGAGCTGAAATCAAGAGTTGGGCAGTTAACCAATTGAGCCACCCAGGCGCCCCCTGGAAACACTAGCTTTTATGAAGCAACTGGATTAACCTAATTTCTTTTAAACTGTAGTCTGTTGATGTCACTGCCATTATCTTTGCTAACACCTAAGTTGGTTAATGCAATGATCCCTCTGAATGTATAACATAATATTTAAATACTGAATATGAAATATAAAATTGTTTCAGATTTTATGAACAACATATTATGAATCAGTATTTTGTAAGTAATTTCAGCATAATATAGTTATGCTTTGAAGTGTTAAATTTTTGAATTATTGGTCTTCTTTATTTATTCATTTATCTGAAATTTAAACATCTACTTCTGAAAAGGATTTGACATCTCAATTTGAAGATATCTCTCCATGATAACTGAAAGTCATTACACATCAGCTCTAATTTATTGAAATTTGCATTATCCATATAGATTACTTTGTTCTGAAATTAATTTCTATCCCTAAAATGGCCACTGGTTTTATGTTTGCAGAATACATTTCCAAAACTACTTTTTTGACATCCTTTTTTGTGGTTAAGAATTAAATTTAGCTTTCTGATTTTCTCCTACTTACGATCTTTGAAGATAAATGCAAGAGTTTATTTTGAATATTTGACCATTAAATCACTTGGTCAAATCTTCCTAGAATGGTATATTTGAATTGTCTTTATTATTCTCCTAAATATGCAAGTAGTAACATATTCTGCAGTCTAAAATTGATTTTTCTAAACTGTTAAAAAGTACAAAAAGTGTGCGTAAAGCTGGTATTACTGAAAAGAACAAACATGCCAGTGTAGCAATGGATGAGTTTGTAAACTATGAAACATCAAGGGTTAACAGTTTCCAATGAATAATGGAATTTTTAAAGGAAATTTTGTATCTTGATTACCATAGAGTATATTTCTATCTGGATGAAAAAATAAATCAAAATAAATCAAATAAAATAAATTGTGTACTTTCTTCTTTCTTCCTGTTACTAGATGAAACAAACCTTAATTAGGTCCCAGTTTGCTTGTACTTATAAAGATGACTGCACAATAAGCAAGGATAAGTGGAATGATGTTAATTCAGCATCCAAGCCTTTGTATGTACTTCACATGGAAAATGACCTTTCTGGTAATTGAGCTTGAGTAATTAAATAACTATTTAATTCTAGTATATTAATTGTTTTTTTAAAGATTTTATTTATTTATTAGAGAGAAAGAGCGTGCACGCACATGAGAGAGAGCATGAGCAACAGGAGGGGCAGAGGGAAAAGCCAGCTCCCCCCTGAGCAGGGAGCCAATGTGTTGGCTTGATCCCAGGACACCGGGATCATGACCTGAGCAGAAGGCAGATGTTTAACCGACTGAGCCACCCAGGCGCCCCAAATTGGCTTTAACTTAAGTAAAACGACATTTTGTTTTACAAAGTATGAAAAGTGAAATGTAAAGGTTTATATTTTTAAGACCTGGGTTTATTTAAAAAGTTAAATCTAGGTACACATCTAAGGAGGAATAGGACACGTTTGATTTAACTAAATGTATTTAAGGAGTAACTTGTAGCATTTAAGGATTAAGTGTCATGCATTCAAAGAAAGTAAATATTTGTTGTTTGCAGGGATAAAAAAATGATATGGTAGAATGAAAAGTAATGTGCTAGTAATGTAGTTGTATTTGTTAATCATGTGACTTACAGCATTATGTGATTGCAAATAAAATTTTTGAATATTCTTTAGCAATTTTTAAAGTTTATTGTAAAATTTTCACATGTAATTCTAAATATTATGTAATTTCTTTCTTCTTTTCATCTTGCATAACAGAAGGTGTAAATTCATCTGTTGGAAGGCCAACAATTGGAACAAGTTCTGGAAATGTTCCTCTGGACAGAAGTAAAAGTGAAAAAGTAACAAGAAAATCAAGTAGTCAGACAGGAAATAAAAGCTCAAAAAGGAAACAGGTGGATTTAGATGATAAAAATGATCTCTGCGATAATGGAAATGAACCAGCTCAACATAAAAATGTTAAGATACCTGAGACATCAAACAATTTCCAGAATAAATTGTGTGGCAAAGTAGCCAGAGTAGCAAAAAACAAGTGTACAGCCAAGGACAAATTGATTACTGGCCAGACAAAGTTAACTCAATTTTTTAGACTATGAATTTGTTTTTTATGTGCTTTAGATTTCTGTATATATTAAACTATTCACCAAAGCCATCTACTTAATTTTTAAGAGAGCAAGATGTAAGTTATGATTCTTTATTATATTGGTCTGAAGTGTATATAAGGTTAGTATGTTAAGCATTTACAAAATACTAGTAAGTCATAATTATGCAGAATATTCACAAAGTTTAATGCACAGATAAAGCATATCATTTAGGCTACAGATATATGTTAATAGCTGCTTTCTTTTAAGACAGACATTTAAAATAATACAAGTCATAATAATGTTAAGGGCTTTTTCCCCAAAAGACAATTAAATGATTTTGTTTTCTTCAGAAAAGATGATGTGGTCCAACAGGTTTCAGACTTGCCAACAAGGTCGATAGACTCTTCCCAGCATGCACCTGAGCACTGGAGGAAAAAAAAGTTTAAATTGTTTAAAGCACTATTATTATGACACAAAATTTATTAGAAATAGGAGAATGGATCTAATATAGCTAATTCTGAATAAATCAAAATTACAGCAACTCTTGAATGCCTTTTAATCCCACATCTTTGGCAGGGGTCACTTAACTGAACCATGGTCTTATTTGATTTTCTTAAGATTGGTTCCAAATCCAGTTAAACTCAGAGTTCTATTTTTATGGTATTAAGATACAAGAATTGAATTTTAAAAAAACTACTCACTGTCAAAATCTCTCCTTCCTATAGGAAATTTAGCTGAATTTTCTTCATCCCCAATTTCTCTCTTTTCTTGTGTTGATTCAGTATTCTGAATTCCATTCTCGGCTGGAAAAGCTACAGATCCTTTTAGAGCAAGATAAGGTTTTATAGCCAGATTCAGTGGCAGACCATGATTTAAGAAATTGTGTTTGGAGCCTGTGTTCTGTAAAGAAAAGGTTGATTTGTGTTTTAGCTGTCTTACTGGTAATAGAACTACAATATATTTGTATAATATTCTCATTGATCAATTTAAAGATGCTCTGCACTGTTTGACTCTAAAAATACATTAGATACAAATTTTTGGGGAAAAAAACTTTTGGATAAGAAGTGTTGTCCAGAGTGGAAGAACAACGTGGTATGTATGAAATTTCATCAGTTGTCCTAAAGAATAGTGTGACTGTTTATATATACTTCTGTTTATAAAAGTATCAATTTTACTTTCAAAAGTATCATAAAAATCATTCAAATTTCCATTGAAGAATGGATAAGTCACATTGCCACTCACCTTTGAATTTTTGTTTTCCTCATCACTCATGAAACTGCTCTCATCATTTTTATATTGTTCCAGAGAAGGAGCAACAACTGATTTTTGTGGAGTATCTTCCTTCTGAAAGGCTTTCCCCAGCCGGAATGTATTAAATACCATGTCATCTTCTAAATTTCTTATGGACTTGGATGCTGAAAGTAAAATGCCTTGAGAAAACAGAGAAAAAGTTAGTATTAATAGGTAGGAAGAGAGACTCATTTTTGCCATTCTTAGTTTGATGTTTGCATAGAGTCAAGCAAGGATCTGTAAAATGAAGAAAAATTTCTCAGTCAACCTACTTTGTAGGTGATTCCTACCTTTATATATTTTCTAACTTGAATAGAAAGCACTTCAAAGATGTAGACTTTCATCATTGGAGAAATGACTCATCAGAGGCTAACCACTTGTATAGCTGCTAATACCTACATTGTTTTGGTTTTAGTGGCATATTGTTTATTTTGAGTGCGAATTTTCTCGGAATCTGATTAAGATCCTTGGTAGAATGCTTTCTGTTGAGTAGATTATAGTCTCTTGAAAATGGATTGTTGTTAAGGAAGACCATAGGACACCAGGCTCTCCATATTCTTATTGTTTTCTTTTGTATATTTTCTGATTAAGTATGATATTAAAACTAAAGTTATTTTATTTAAAGTTGATAAGGATAAAAGTGTTATTTACTTTTAATCCTGATTAAATCAAAATAATCTTCAAAAAGGATTTTCTTTCATAAATGCTCAGTTTAGTCTTTGGTGATTAAAGTATATATGCCTGTCAGTGTGAACAAAAAGTCATCCATAATATATCAAAAATTGACCTGTCAGGTGTGTTTTATCTCTGCATTTGCAAAAGGATATTATTGACATTTATTAATGAATTTAACAATTAATGAATAAAGTCCATGAAGAGAATATTTATGTGTTCCATAAATATCAATTTTGGATGAATATGTTGTATGATTCTTAATTAAACATTTCACAATAATTTCTCATTTTGACCCCACCAAGTAAGATAATACATTCTTGTAATTGTCTTCTGGTACATATGTGCAAAAATTTTTCTAGAGTATATTCCCAGGTATGGAATTTCTGAGTCATGGAATATACATGTTCAGCTTTACATATGCTAAAATGTTTACAGAATAGTAGTAGCCAATTCAAGCTCCCACCAGTGAGGTTTGACAGTTCCCATTGCTCCATGTCCTAACCAATACTTGGATATCTTATTGTCCTTTTGTATTTTTCTGATTCCCAAAGAAGTTGAGTGTCTTTTCATATGTTTATGAGCCATTTATCATTCCTCTTATATAAAATGTCTTTTAAAAAAAAATCTTTGTCCATTTTCTTTTTGTTTTTTTCATATTGATTTATGGGAGTTCTTTATATATCTTGGATATTATTCTTTGTTAGTTACATGTGTTTTAAATATTTTTTCCCACTTTGTGACTTGTCTTCTCAACCCCTTTATGGTGTCTTTTGGTGAATCAAACTGCTAAATTTTTATTGTTTAAATTTCTTTTTTTTTCTCTTCATGATTAGTATTTTTGGCAGGTTATCATTTAGAAATTTTTTCCCAACCATTTGATGTTTACATTTAAATTCTTAATTCATCTGAAATTTTGTGTATGATGTAGAATAGAGATACAATTTTACTTTTTCCAAATATCCTCACACATTTCCTGAATAATTCGTCCTGACTCCACTAATCTGCACTGACTTCTCTGCAGTATATCAACTTTCTGTGTACATGTGGGTCTCTTTTTGAACTCTTATTTCACTGCCAAATCTTCAGTCTTAATTGTTATAATTTTAAAATAATTTTTGATACCTGGTAGGTCAGGTTTTCCAGCCCCCTGTTCACCCATCAGTTTTTCTTCTACAGCAGTTCCTTGACTATTCTTGTCCATTTTTTTCATATAAATCTTAATATCAGCTTTTCAAGTTCTGTGAACAACTTTGGTGGGGATTTGAAGGCAATAGTATTGATTCTATAGATTAATTTTGGAGGGCAATTGACACTTTTAAGATAATTCATCTTCTTATGCATGAACATGGTACTTTTCCATATTTATTTAGATTTTTTAACCTTTTAATAACATTTACTATTTTCTTCATAAAGTTCTTACATATTTTTTGTTGAAAGTTATAATTTTTTATAATTATAATTAAGCTATTTTAGTTACTGTAAATGGTATCTTTAAAAAATTTACCTTTTCTAACATTATTGCTGGCTGTACATGTGCAGTTGGCTTTTGTGTAGTGCTCTTATATACAAAATACTTTCTAAATTCTTTTTAATTCCAAATAGTTGATAAGTGTATTAATTCTTTTGGATTTTCCATAAAGACAATTGATATAAATAATAAAATAATGGCATTTTATTTCCTCCTTCCAAGTCCTTCTGTATTCGTGTGTGTGTGTGTGTCTGTCTGTCTGTGTGAGCATACACACTGATATTGACCAAAACTCCAGTAAGTGTTGGAAATGGAAATAACAGACATCTTTGCAGCATTACTGATTTTATAGAGTGCTTTTAATGTTTTACCATTGAGCATGATGTTTGCTCTTGGCTTTTTATAGATATTCTTTATAACTTGCAGGATGTTCTCTTCTATTTCTGACTGATAGTTTCTATCATTAATTGTTATTGAATGTTATTGAATTCTTTTTCTGCATCTATTGAGATGATCATGTCGTTTTTCTCCTTCAGTCTTTAGTAAATGAAATGAACAGATTTTTCTCATGTTAAATCAACCATGTGTTCATGAAACAAACCTTTTAAAAATATAATTTGGTTCAATGTGATAATATTTGATTTAGTATATTTTGTAATTATTATCATGACTGAGATTGATATGTACTTTACCTTCCTTATGTTGCCTTTGTCTCTTTTGGCATTAAGGTTCTACTAGCTTCATGAAATGAACTGGGGATAAGTTTATTCCTTTTCTTTTCTCTCTTGTAAAACTATTTGAGTGTGGTGTTTTCTTGGTTGGATTTCTTTTAATGATTAATTCACTTTCTTCAGTAACTGTAGAAACATTCAGCTTCTCTCTCTCTCTCTTTTTTTTTTTAGTTTGTTTCAGGAATTTAAATTATAGAATTTCACTTAAGCTTTCAAATTTGCTAGCATAAAGTTATTAATAATATTTTCTTCTAAATTTTTTAAACCTTGCTCCATCTGTAATTGTATTTCATTATAATTATGTTTATTTTTACTCTTGTGGTCTCTGCCTGTCTCTCTTTCACCCCTCTTTTTTGATCAGGCTTGTTAGAGGTTTATCAATTTGATTAGCCTTTTCAAAAATAAACTTTTGGTTTTGTTGCTCTTCTCTATTTTTCTATTTCATTAATTTCTGCTTTTTATTATTTTGGGAGGGTTTATTTTTTAATTCTTATAACTTCTTAAATTGGAAGAATAAATCGTTATTATTTATACTTAAAAATAAGCACTTAAGGCAATATGTTTCCCTTTATGTATCATTTTTGCTAATAACCACAATTATTGATGAATAGAATATTCAGTGTTTAATAATAAAAACAATATTCATTGTTTTTATTATTATTTCTTCCTTAGCTCCTCAATTACTTAGATATTTTTAACATTCCAAATATATGGGAAATTAATTTTGGGGAGAGGGTACCAAGTTCCAACAAAATTGTTGTCAGAAGTTTTGGTCTATAAATTATAGAGTATTTGAAATCATAGATTGAACAATATATAATTATGATTTTCAGCTGTTTTTGACATACAAATACCAATTTCATATAGTTCAACATGTAGAAACTTACCATATAGCCTATAATATCTTCACTTTACATTAAAGTTCTGTTTATTCTTGAAAAGAATATGTATACATTATTGTTGAGAGAAGGATTCTATATGTGTCCATAAGATAAAACAGGATAATATGTTGTTTAAATCTTGTATGCTTTATATATTTTTTTGTCTACATGGACTATCATTATTGAAAGATATACACAAATCTTTCACTACCATGAACTTATCTAATTCTTTCTGTAGTTTGCAATTTTTGACTTATTTTGAGCTGATGTTATTAGGACACTCAAATTAGAAATTGTTTCATCTTCCTCATAAACCAAATCATGTATCATGACCCTCTCCAGCTTTAATAATGTGTCTATTACTATTATTTTTTCTGTATCTTTATGTTTTAGATGTGTCTATTGTGAATACCATGTAGCTGAATTTGGAATTTTTAGTCTGACAGTCTTTGCATTTTCTTGGAGACTTTAGTCTGTTTACATTTATTTTGTTTACTGAATTACTGAGATTCAGTACTACTATCTTATTTTGTGATTTTTATTTGTTCTAATATGTTTTCCCCACTCCACCCTCCCTTTGGCTTCTGGCTAAGTTTAATCTATTTTTTGTTCTTTTTGAGGGCACCCTAGACATTTTATTTATTTGTTTTTATTTTTATTTTTTTTTTAAGATTTTATTTATTCGAGTGAGAGAGAGAGCACAAGCAGGGGAAGGGACAAGCGGAGAGGGAGAGGCAGACTCCCTGCTGAGTGCAGAGCCCAACACAGGGCTCAGTCCCAGGACCCTGAGATCATGACCTGAGCTGAAGTCTGAAGCTTAGCCAACTGAGGCACCCAGGTGCCCCACCCTAAACATTTTAATATCACCTTCAGTTATTTATGTTCAAGTTAATCAGTATTTTTGCCCTCCTCCCAAATAATGTAAACACCCTAGAATCTTTAACTCCAGGTACCACTATTCCTAATTTATATGCTATTATTTTCTAAGATTTAAGTTCTATCTTGATTTTTTTAATGAAATAAATTAGAGAATATTATGCTGTTTTACAAATTAACAATTTGTTTAGATTTACCTACAAGTTTACTATTTTTTTCTCACCATTCCTTTTTACATCTGAGATCTTCCTTTGACAGTTTTCTTCTTTCTGAAATACAAGTTTCTGAAATATACTGAGTTAGAGGCTAAGTTAGTGAGGGTCTGTTAGTTATGAACTAAGTTTTGTTTTGTTTTAATTAAATGTATTTTGCTATTTTTCTTGAAAAATAGTGTCAATGACTATACAGTTATATAGTTGACAGCTACCTTCCCTTAGTACATAACTATTTCAGTTTCTTCTGATTTTCATTGTTACTGGTGAGATATCAGTTGTTGGTTTTAATCATGATGTCTTTATAGGTAATCTCTGTATTCTCTCTGGCTGCTTTTAAAATCTTTTATTTGGCTTTAATGTTCTGCAGTTGCACATGATGTGTCTGGGTTTGGATTTCTTTTAATTTTTCCTGGCTTAGATTCTTGAATCTGAGGGTTGAGTGTTTCTTATGAATTCTTGAAAATTATTAGTCATTATTCTTTTGAATATTGCCTCTCTTCTGTTCTGTTTGTCTTTCTGGAATTCCCAATAGATATACATTAGGCCTGCCTGCTTACTCTGTCCTCCATATCTTATAACCTCTCTTTCTTACTCTTTCTTTCTCTCTCTGTGCATTTTAAATAATTATTCAGAGTTATATTCCAGCTTACCAGTGCACTTTCACTTGTATCTAATCTGTTTAACCTGTGTATTGAGGTTTTTTTTAAAGATTTTTATTTATTTATTTGAAAGAGAGAGAGGGAGAGATCAGGAACAGGGGGGAAGAGCAGAGGGAGAAGCAGACTCCCCACTAAACAGGGAGCCTGACACGGGGCTTGATCCCAGCTACCAGGGATCATGACCTGAGCTGAAGGCAGATGCTTAACTGAGCCACTTAGGTGCCACATGTATTGAGCTTTTAATTTAATTTCTTGTATTTTTTATTTTTAAAAATTGTATTTGGTTCCTTTTCAGATCTGCCCGGTCAGTTGTAGTTTTCTATGTTTTAGCATATTTATTTATTTTTATTTTTTTTCCTCAGGTTTGCTCCATTTATTTTGAGAGGGAATAAAAGCCCTTCCTGCTCATTAAAATTTACAAGACATTAATAAGAAAATGATTATTCTAGTTATAAAAGCACACATCTTAAATTCTTTAAGTTATAAATTCTAGTTCTTAATTAAGAGTGATAAATATCATTATTTCACAGAGGCTAGAGAAATAACTAAATTAAAAATTTCTCTGAGGAACCATGCCTAAGGAGATCAGTAAGAAAGTTAAAAATCTCTGGAGTAGAAGGGACACATAAGTCAGTAGCAATATAATGAAATTCTTTTAAAAGGCCCAGATTTTCAGAAAAATCCTATATATCTTATATAGGCAGATTAGTGTAGTTTTTCTCCCAGGCATCACATTGGGGTTAAAAAAAATCTCTTTTTATTGCTTTAAATCTATTAAACATTTATTTTATTTTTAAACATTTATATTTGTAATTATTCTAGTATCTGCTGTCTTTCCCTCTTTGATTCTGTAGTTTCTTATTTCTGCTGATCCCTAGCTCATGGTGTCTTCATGTGTTTAGTGAATTTTCATTTTTTTGCATATATTCATTGAACTGTGTCTAGAGGAGTTCTTGAAATTCCTGTGTTTGCTTCTGCCACGCCCCTGAGCATAGAAATCCAGGGCCACTTTAAAATTTCTGCTTGAGGCTTTTCAGGCCACAGAGTCAATACAAATACCAAACTAAGTTAGTATGCCTTTGTCATTATGAATTCTTAGGACAGTATATATTTTTTCCTCCCACCTCCTCTCTCCCCCTTCTTCTCAGAGCCTTTGCCAGCATAGGCTTGTTTCCTTCTACTAGCTGGATTTTTTGTAGTTTACTTCCTTATGGGGGTTCCCAGCTTTATGTGGGATTTTCTGATCTGAGCTCTCATTTTACTTGGGTCCTAAGGTTTGTCTTCTGTCCCAGCATATGTGGGTCATTAAAACCAGGTGCTAGGCCACCAGGAATTCACAGAATCTCCAGAGTAAATGCCATCTCTAACCCT